GTAGGAGGATAACATTTAAAATAGGCTAGAGGACCGGACTTGGGCACCCCTGATCTAAACAAAGAACCCACATTTTTTCTGTGCAAATTTACGCTCAAGTAAAAAAAAAAAAAAAAAAAAAAAAATCCTCATGCTTGACGTCAATTGCACTGCACGCCAAATCAGTCAGAGCAACCGATGAGCACCAAAATGTCAGCGTACTGGACCCGAATGGTGCACTATGGACAAAATGTGATATTTAATCCACCCATGTCGTCTTGTATTCATGCATCCCATATGACTGCAAGTTAGGGCTGGCTGTTTCATTGCAGTTGATTAGTGAGTCTTTTTGGTATCACAAGAAGGAAATCCTATCAAATTGGTCGTGTGTGTCAGGTCGTCAGGTCTTGGCAACATATGAGCTGATGTTACCGGGCAGGAAAGACGGACCCCCCCCCCCACCTCCCCAACACACACACACACACACACACACACACACACACACACACACACACACACACACACACACACACACACCACACACACACACACACACACACACACACACACACACACACGGACCCCTTATACCGCTTGCCATCCCCCCTCTTCCTCGCGGTGAAAGCATCTCTTGAGCGGGCGGCAGCTGTTCGCATTTCCTGCGTATTGGGTGTCGAACGGGCGGATGGGGCTACTTCGCCAAGCTTCCCGCTCTTTTGCCGGGTGCTAATATGGGGAAATGAGAGAAATGCGGGGACACACGTACACACGCAGGTACACGCACGAACATACACATGCTCTCACATGCGCACGCACATGCAGTCATACACGGATGTACGGCACATACACTGACACAAACACACACGTACATAAACAGGCACTCTCACACACACACACACACACACACACACACACACACACACACACACACACACACACACGTGCGCTCGCATGCTGACACAGGGCATAAGCACAATTCTGAAGCAGCTGCTGTAGTTGCTCAAGTGATGCGTAGATCACATTTATTTTTATTTTTTTTTTTTTGCACCTCTGTGTTCACGCGTGGGCTTGCGCGCGTCTTGCATAGGTCAGCTATATGCAGTGATTTGATTGCTGGTGAATGCATGACTGACAAAACGGTGAGAGTCAGCTGCGGCCATATTGGATTATAGATTATATTTCAGCACGTTAAAAGTACCCGCGACACCACCACCACCACCACCCGCACACCCCCGAGTCTACTTTATCACAGTAGTTAACAACGCCAACTTTGGGTAAAAATATCAACCAGCCGTACCGTTGTCGAATCAACATGGCTTGGCTGAGCGTCTGGTGAGACCATGTTTTCGTGTCGCGTTTAAGAAACTAATGCTATTGTTAGGCCTGTCACGATAAATTGTTTTTAGCGTGACGGGCCTTACAATAGCAAAGGGCGATTGATGTCTAAATAATAAGTTTCAGAACTACAATAGGAAATACCATGTAAAGCACTGACTCCCCGTTGCTCCAGTTGAGTGTCAGTTTTTTCCCCCATGATTTTGCCGATGAACTCATGATCACAACACACACATACATGTACATACTCTGTTCATATTTGACTTGCCTAAACTCGCCCGAGGCGGCCCAGCGGCCCAGTGGTTAGCGCGTCAACCTCATAGTGCAGAGGTACCGGGTTAAATTCCAGCTCCGGCCTCCCTGTGTGGAGTTTGCATGTACTCCCTGTGCCTGCGTGGGTTTTCTCCGGGTATTCCGGTTTCCTCCCACATTCCAAAAACATGCATGGCAGGCTGATTGAACACTACACATTGTCCATAGGTGTGAGTGTGATCGCGGATGGTTGTTTGTCTCTGTGTGCCCTGCGATTGGCTGGCAACCGGTTCAGGGCGTCCCCCGCCTACTGCCCGAAGACAGCTGGGATAGGCTCCAGCATCCCCCGCAACCCTTATGAGGATAAGCGGATCGGAAAATGAATGAATGACTGAATAAATAAACTCGCCCAACTTTCAACATGTCACCATTAGTCTCCCTGATAATGGACATGTGACAACCCCCTGACTTTTATCTTGCAATGCAACGCCGCCGTCTATGGGGATCAGTTAGCCATTGCAGCAGTTTTCAAACTTGAATATCACAGACAAGCTACCCGCCGAGAGCCTCTTCCACTGAAAAACGTGCTTGACGAACATAAACCTCGTTTGCAGATGAATTGAAACATCCACTACTGTGAATGTGTTAATGTAAATGTGCTGGGCTATTTGAACTTGTTGGGGAAAAGGGAAAATACTGAAAAATGTGAGAAGTAGGGGAATGTCAACAATATGGTAAATTGAATCGGTTGAGAAGTGAAGAAATTCAGGAGATGATTATTAACCAGCGTAGGCGTCTCTTGGACTTCCTGAGGATTAAGTCTGGCATTCACACGCTGGCAGAGGATGACTCATGACATCCTCTTCAGGAGACTGATGTTTCTCCACCACACCTTCTTGTCCTTGCCATTCATCAATCGGGTATCTAAACACATAGCGAGCGAGCGAGCAAGCTTCCTCCCTGTTGGCCAGCGGGATATAAACCGGGCGGGTGGTTTATCTGAGGTGTCTCCTGCCATCACAACAACTTGTTTGCTATCGTTGACAAGCACACCACGTTTGCACAGGCCCATTGCCCTCTTGCCAAGATTAATCGACTAATCATGACGACCACCAAAAGCGTCGACAATTAATTTAAATCGTCAACGAGTCTGTATTATTATTTTTTCTCCTCTCAAAACGGCCTCTGTGGTTCCCACCGCCCTGTCTGCATTTTTTGTGCTTACATCATATAAATATTGCCATAAACATCGACTACACACGTAGTTAAACAGATCATTCATTGATACCCCTGAATTGGGGTATGAAAATTATTAATACCTGTCATCAGAATGTGGTGAATTTTTTCGTGTTTTCTGATAAAGAAAAAGAAAAAAAGACTTAGGCAATTATTTTAGGAGGCTGATATGATCCGATTCGTCGACTAATTGCGATTACCGTTGGTGATTAGTCGACTAGCAAAATAATCGTTTGTGGCAGCCCGAGTTCCTACCCTGGTCGCCCAAACACTAAATCCTGTTTTCTCTACCTACCTTCCACCCTTTTTAAAGTTTTTTGGCAAATAACACAGGATGAATCCTCCCACCACCAAAAGTCTGTAAATAGGTGAATTCACCAATGTCAAAATGCGGAGGTTAACCATATTTGTGTTTGTGTCATTATGCCTGGTAACAGTCTGATCCTGGAACTCATTATTTCTATTTCTGTGACTTTACAAGGGAAATTGTACCCAAACCCAAACAAATCGGAGGTTAATTCAACTTGAAACTAGTCACCGATTTTAAAATGTTTGCGTTTGTCCCTCTCAGCCTGACAGATCCATATTTTAGATCCTTGTGAATTCAACGTAATGTTGGGTCTAAAGGCCAAAAAGTCTTTCATAATGTCATAAGTGCAGCTTTTCAACGCCCCGCTGACATTTACACAAGCCTAGCGTGTCCCGAGGCCCTTTGGCATAGCGACAGCGGCGGCCGGGCTATATAATGACTAGCTGGAGTTTTTTGGGCCGGGCCGGGCCAGTCCTGCGGTTGGCGTGGCCCCCCGAGCGGGCTGCCAGCTGCCCTCTGGCCGTTCTGACAGGATGCCAAACGGGAACCCTGCTCCACGCAAATGGAGCGTGACGCGCGGGGCCGTGTTTCTCCGCGGTGGCGGGAGGGACCAGATGAGCTGTCATGAGCGCCTCACGTCTGGATCGTCGTCAGGTTTTATTTGCACTGTTAAAGGAGCTCGCCAAAAGTGTCAGCGGCAAATTTGTTTAAAAATAAACGTGGTGAACTTCTGAGACCTTAAACACTGGCTGTCAGGACACGTTTGCTGTTTTGCTTTCAACAGCACATACATCCAGGAGGAGATGTCACTCACTTTTGAAAAACCTGACAGCTAAATTTTTATGTTCTCAACCAGATTATAATGTCCGTCCATATTTGGACAAGGGAGCAATTTCTTGGACCGTATTTTCACGAGCATAAGACGCACATAAAAGTCTTAAATTTTCTCCAAAATGGACAGGGCGTCTAATAATGCGGATCACCTTGTGTATGCGCCAAGTTCCAAAATCTGCGAATGCTATTTTGTGACTTCGATGAGGGGTCCGCTTGACTGACTGATGTTGTGCCGACAACGTTGCTTGTGTAGAGCAAAGGCAGACCTAACTGAGGACAGGATGCGAACGTTAAAGTGGGAAGGGTGGGCGTGAAAGAGGACGCTAAAGGCATGACCCCAGTTGGTGTAAATAGTCCCGGTACGTGCATTGTGCAAAACAACATCCCGAAAAATGTCATCTAAGAAGAGACACACTTACAAAGTGCAGTTTAAACTGGAAGCTATCAATTACTCAGACCATGGGAATCAAGCAGCTGCAAGAGAATTCAAGATTAACTAATCCATGGTGCTTGGTGCTTTTGTTTTATAAAACGGCACCATCTGTCCATCCGGGCAAGGACAACCGTAGCGCAGCAACATCATTCCAAGGAAAAGGTGGCCATCTTCCGCTGCGTTACATTGTACAAAGACACTTTCTTGGAGATTGTAATCCTTTATTCTGTCGCTCTGCTTGGCTTCCATTACCGATTGTACAGTTCAGTTGGATTTAACTTGAGTACACTAAATGTGTGTTGTTTTTTTTTAAGATCTAAAACCTTGGCGGCATTGTAATGTTTGTACTTTCGAGATGCATGGATGGATGGATGGATGAAATGTGGCACTAGGATTTCCTCATGGACATATAACCATATTTTGTTCATTAAAAGCATATTTTCAAAGTTTTTTTTTAAGCAGTAATCCATTGAGCTCATTATAACAACTTTTGAGCAACAACCACTCAGTGGGAAGAAGCACGATTGACTGGATTGACGCTGCCCTCCAACGTGTCCGAAAAAACGAAGACAGGAACTTTTGTTCCTGCCCATAATTGTTCGTTTTGAAACCGTTCCACAATATTATGCCCCAATTAATGTTGCCAATTTACATACAACAACAGGATAAACATTTTTAAAGCGTTGTCAATTACCTGAAAATTTTGTCTTGTCGACATTCCGTCTCGGCCGACGTCGGCGTTCATCAAATTCGGCCCAATTAGTCCCGAAATGGCCGCTCGACGGTGCATTGGTGCAAAGGGAGTTGCCTCCAGAACAGCCCGTTGGTTCGGCGTGCAGTTGGCGATCTTGAAAGTCCAAAATTATCGCTGGGTTCGACGACGCTGACTGCTGATTTACTCAACTGGCTGCTAGATAGTTAGCCGTGCAGGCTTAGCTCAGTTCGAAATATTATATCGTAAGTCGAGTCTTTTTTCACTTTACTATGCACACTTTAATGTCTGACTTGGAATGTGTTGCTTTGGGAAACACATTTGACTGGTTGCATCTAACAGGGGGTGCGACTTGTTTCATTCCGAACATGACATGAAATGACTTCTGACTTCAATAATGACACTTCCGGGACGAATGAGGAGAACTTGTCAACCTCACCAAATGCTATCTTCAAAATAATAATAATAATAATAATAATAATAATAATAACAGATCTGAACTCTCCATTCACCACTATCATGACAAACATTAAAATACAGAGGTGTAGTAGTTTCTGTGTTCATGAAAATATTATTGAAACTCACTGCAACACTGCACAGTTTGAACAAATATACTGCACCTAAATATAGGAAATTATACCAAAAAGTTTAATATAACTGAACTGTGCTTTGACAGTGATTTTTTTTTTTTGCCCTATGCATAGCACTAGTGAGTTGTTGTACCACTAGTGGTACCAGTCCTAAAATTTGGGCTATATTTTACATTAAATTACTTTGAAATGACTAATATTCTTTTTTTCATGTCAACAATGAATTTTTGAATGTAATGCATTTTTTATTTTTTTTTGGCAGCATGGTAGAAGAGTGACGAGAATGTCTGCATCACAGTTTTGAGGTTCCGTGTTCTGGTATGGGCTCCAGCCTCCCTACATGGCCTTCGCATGATCTCCGGGGCTTCTGCAGGTACTCTGAGTTTTTCTCTCGTATTCCAAAGACACATGTTAAGTCTGTTAAAGATTTAGAATTGTCCATAGGCGTGAGTGTGAATAGTGGTTTTCTGTCTGTGGTCTGATTATTGGCTGGTGACCAGTCCAAAGTCTACCACATCTTTTGGCCAAAGTCAGCTGGGACTCCTGCAACCTAAAGCGGTATTAAAAAAAGTGGATTGCTGTTAGTCATTTTTGAAAATATGTTCATTTTTTTGAGCTAGCCATATTTCATCTGTCCATTGTGCCATTTGGTTTCCCCCAGAGCAATGGCACAATAAACCAGACATGGTATAAATCCTCACCCTTTGAAAGTGATTTAGTGCACTGCTGGTCCAAACCTGCCCCGCCCTTTGATGGACAGGGTGTCAGCTTTAATTGCGGGCTAAAGGGAGCACAACATGTTGCCCAAGTGCAAAAAGGGATCATCGATGATTTGAGAACAAGGTCATTAACAACAGTTGACCTGTTGTTACCTGAGCAGGAGCTGCCATGATGCTGGGACAGGTGTAATTTTAATTTTTACACCTGTTGACTCCAGACACTCCTCCCCGCCCACAAAATACTTTTGGTTTTTTGGTGGGAGAGGCGGGAGTTGTTTTTTTCTTTTTTGAGCCAAAGATTGCACATTTTGCTCCTCACGTCAAACAGGTGTGTTGCTTGTTTCATGCTTCTGTTTCAATCTGAAATCAAATATGATGGTCCCAATGAAATATACAAAACCAGTTTCAGTCCTTCTATGACATGATCGTTGCGTAGAGTCCTGCTGCTTCGCACTGATTGCTTTTGTTGCTTTTTGGAGCGTGCCTTCATAACTTGACAAGAGAAAGACGCCACACAAGACAGCCGTGAAGCCTCAGTGAAAGTACAGAACTCCTTTATGACGGGTAAAACGAGAATAAAAGAAAACAGGATAAGAGGTTCCGATAATGGATCGATGGAGGGTCTTCTGCCCGTAGTGTAGTCAAGTGGCGCCCTCTAGGGGAAATATCAACTTTTTTTAATTTTCCGCTTACTCGAGTCATCCTTTCTGTATTTGCTGTTTTAATACAAGACAAAGCTAGTTGTCTTCATACCATTTTTTCTGAGCTGCAAATGATTTAAGTCATTTCATTTCATTTGGATGAGGATAATTGATATGAGACTAAGGCGCAGCTTGTTTATTCCCGTTTATTGCCCCGTGGTCAACAAAGCTAATCCTCGTCCTTCACGCTGGCCCGCCCCGTCCTCGCCAAACGTAAACAAAGTGCTGTTGGGATCCATTTAGTACCGAACGGAAACAAAATGAGTCTTCAATAACATTTCTCCGAAGGCCACGTGTTCTAATTTAAAGCCTTCAATCATCTCTCCGGTCGCGGCTCGCAACGGCGACCACATCAAATGATGGACACTGGAAGGCACTTCTTGTCCCCGATAGTTAGTTGAGTCAATAACACCCAGAGTGGAACAAGATGTGCTCGTGGTCCGGCAAAATTACAGAAATGTACGACTTTTCTTTACGGCTGGCACGAGATGGAAGCCGGCAGCCAATTAGAGGACTCGACTGTGAACTTAATTTATCTTTATAGTTGGAGCGTGGGTTTCATTCTGCTTCAAAACAAAAGCGGACACTTTATTTCTAGTGTGTAACTCCACAAAGTTTTATGTGCCGCAAGCACAAAGGCAAAAGGATTTGAACTGTTATGCTAAGTGAAAACATTATGAGGAAGTGGACAAAAGTGTTAGGACACCAACAGGAAGTGACATTGTGGAGTCCGGAAAGAACTACCCGTACCAAATGAAATGTGAAAAATGGTTGTGGGGACAAAAGTACTGGGGCACACATAGGAACAAGAAAATGAAGAAATCTCAAAATTTTGGGTAAGGTATTGAGAGTATTGTGGAGACCACAGAAAATGGCGAGTTTAGACCAAAGTATCGGGACATCTCCAGGAAGTAAGAAGTGGAGTAAATGTAGTCAAAAGTACTGTGACACTAACAGGAAATAAAAACGTGGGGTTTGGTCCAAAATTGTCAGAGGCTAAGAGAAAATAAAAAGTGCATATGTGGAGTTTAGACAAATGTATTGGGACGCCAATTTTAAAGAAAAGTGAAAAAAAATGTGGAGTTTGGACAAAAGTTTGGGCACACCTATAGAAAGTAACAAGTGAAAAAAAATGTGGATTTTAGAAAAAAAAATACTATCAGGGCACCTAAAGGAAGTGAAAATGTGGAGTTTTGGACCAATAAATAGTATAATATTGAATCATAATTGTATCACAAATGAAGTTAAATGAGTTAAATACTTGTATCATGTTGACTAAAACCCTCAGAAAATGCTCATGAATTACTTGTAAGAAAATGACATTGGATGCACGGACCACACCTGGATTCAGCACTAGGGGGAGCCACAACTTAACTAATCGACACATCTTTTGAGGTCAACGAGTGTGAGACGCCAAATGTACTTAAATTTAAAAATTGCTGCCATGCAACAAAGATTTTACCCAAAATAACAAAAATAGCGCATTGCTGCCCTCCCGCACCCATTCGCTGCTCTTGCATTCTATGCAATTTTCTATATTTATGGTATTAAATGAATTCTGTTCACAGTAATGATACGATGCAATTTTCTATATTTATGGTATTAAATGAATTAACCCAGCCGCTGGGGAGCAGTTCCCTCCCCTGGGGGTACACTGTTCCCCGGTGCCGGTCCCAAGCCCGGAGAAATGGGGAGGGTTGCGTCAGGAAGGGCATCCGGCGTAAAACTTTTGCTAAGACGGACATGCGAGTTCGTAGGGCGGTTTGCAGGGACGGATGGGAATTAATGACTCGCTGTGGCGACCCCTGAAAAGGGACGTGCCGAAAGGAGAAGAAGAAGAAGATGGTATTAAATGAATTCTGTTCACAGTAATGATACAATGGTGATTATTTGTCAATGGTTTTGCCACTGTAGTACCAATTACTTGCATTATTTGCATCAAATAACATGTGGGGAAAATGGAAAGATGAAACTGGTAGCAGTGTTGTTGTCTGAGGCACAAGAAGCAGCTAATTGAAATTAACACAAACAGGCGACTCAGTCTGTTCAAGTTGAGTTATGCAATACTACGTGGGGAAAAAAAGTGGTTAAGAACCAATAGTAGCAATTTTAGGAGAATTGACTCATAAGGCCAGAGTGTAGCCAAACACTGAATTTTCTTAAGAGGCTATTAACAGCACAACGCAAGTTGTAAGGTCCCCATCTCTGATGACTGGTACTCGTAAGAGGGGCCACATAACTCCGACTCTGGCATCCCGATACATTTTAGAGTTTTTTTTTAAGATCCTATGACATGTATTTGTTTTCAAATCTTTAAACGGCCTCGCGCCACCTTACCTCTCTGAGCTCATCCGCCCCTACACACCTGCCCGGCGCCTCAGGTCTGCGGACCAAACATTATTAGAAGTACCAAGGACTAAGCGGAAGCTCAGAAGGGATCGAGCCTTTTCCGTTGCTGGTCCCTCTCTTTGGAATGACATCCCACTGAACATTCAGCAAGCCCCCTCGCTGTCCATCTTGAAAACTCGTCTCAAAACTCGTTTGTATTCTATAGCATTTGATGCGGCATGACTCAGACTTGATCTTAGTCTTACCGTTTGGTGCTTTTTACTGTCTTTGTTATTAATTTGTTGTTTAATTGTTGTATATATGATATTTGCTCCATGTACAGCACTTTGTATACAGGGATGGTTGTTTTAAAGTGCTCTATAAAGTTGAGTTGAGAGAAGGCATTTTCATCCACGAGTTTGCTTGTAAAAACCCGACTCTCTTCTGATGATTGAATTTTGTTATTCTCAGAAAATGACTTTTTCTTGTAAGATTCTTCTAAGATTGAGCTAGATTCTTGTAAGATTTGTTTCTTCCTTATAAAAAAAAATGGAAATGAAGCATCCATCAAAAACAATTATTTTAAGAATGTAGGGCCAGTGGTTAACGCGTCGATCTCACAGTGCAGAGGTCGTGGGTTTAATCCCGTTTCCGGCCTACTTGTGTGGAGTTTGCATGTTCTCCCGGGGCCTGCGTGGGTTTTCTCCGGGTACTCCAGTTTCCTCCCACATTCCAAAAACCTGCACGGGAGGCTGATTGAACACTCGAGATTGTCCCTAGGTGTGAGTGTGAGCGCGGATGGTTGTTTGTCTCTGTGTGCCCTGCAATTGGCTGGCAACCGGTTCAGGGTGTCCCCCGCCTACTGCCCGAAGACAGCTAGGATAGGGTCCAGCACACTCCGTGACCCTTGTGAGGATAAAGCGGATCGGAAAATGGATGGATGGATTTTAAGAATGCGACTTATTTGTCTCAATAACAGTTGAGTTCCTTCTCATAAGATTTTCCTTCAAAAAGGAATCTCTCAACAGTACAAGTTTATTCTTGTAAGATTACGAATTTGTCTTGAAAACATTTTAGGTCATAAGATTGCTTTTTTATTGTCACAAATTGTTGTAGATGTTTTTTCTCAGAAAAAAAAACTGACACTTCTCATAAAATTCCACTTTTTTGGGTAAAATATTCTGCATTTGTCTGGGAAGATTTCAACTCCACCCAAAACAATGTTATTTATAAAAAAGACTATTTATAATTTTGACGTATATAGTGGCAGCTTTTGTGAACTTTATTTAAAACTGAGGGTTGAGGGGAAAAAAAAAAAGGAACACAGCTGGTGGTTCCCGTAATGAAGCTTCCTCCCGCTTCCTCCTGCTTCCTCCCGCTCCAATATAATTTTATTAGCCATTGTGGTAATTGAGCCGGTCTGTTAGGTGTTACGTGTTAATGTGTCTCAATTACAGACTTGACTCTCGGGGTCTCGTCGGTACAGTAAAAGCGGGAAGATGGGGAGGCGGCGGACGCACGCATGACGGGAAAACAGTCAGGAATTTATTCCACTCATTAAAGCAAATGAGATTTCACTTTTTCGTACTTTGGAAGGTTTGTACGCGTGTGCAGACTCGATAGCT